ATAATAATGAAGGAAATTAATGTGGAAGAAAGAATGTTAATTGAATTAACTGGACTGATGGAGGGCAGGGGTACAATTCTGAAAATGAATCCAGCTAATGATTAGACTCTTCCAAGTATAGCTTTCTACAACATAATAACTTCCCTTCTATTTAGATCTTGGGCACAAAAAAAGAGGGCCATGAAGTCCAGTTACTTAACTAGCAAGATGGGTTGTCCAAGCTGTATTATCCCTAGCAGCTGTTACTTCTTTTGGGCAGCCAGAGTATAATCTTTAACACAAAAGCTGAAAGAACAAATCATCCACCTATGGAGAGGCCTTGTTTTCCAACCTGGACTTAGTTTTTACTGAAAAATGAAGACAAGACAGAAAGAAACAAAGGAGACCTAAACAAGAGAAACATCTGAAGTGTCTTTGCAGCTTCCACTCTTATCTTCTGCTTCCCTCAGGCTTTCATTCAAAGTCCATTTATGTTAAACTTTACTTCCTTGCCATTTTCTACCTCTATTCAAGCAAATCCAGAAAGTCTTCTGTGTATTGATCCCTAACATTAACCAAATAAGCAAAAACTCTTCTTAATCTCCTATCCATACCCACTGAAATAATCTTTCACTTTTCATGGACAGTTATTTGCAGGCTGAGGGAAGTTTATTTGCTCAAGGCTGCAAGAGAAATATGACTTTTTCGGTAAACTAACATACTACAACATCTGTATTAGTTTCCTATTGCTGCTGAAACAAATTACCACAAACTGTGTGCCTTAAAACAACACAGATTTATTCTCCTACAGCTCCGGAAGTCAGAAATTAGAAATCCGTTTCACTGGGTTAAAGTCAAGGTGTTGGCAGGGCTGGTTCCTTTGGGAGGCTCTGAGGAGAGAATCAGTTTTCTTGCCTTTTCTAGCTGCTACTGGCCACCTGTATTCTTTGTTTTGTTGTTCTTTGTCTTTAAAGTGCATCACTCTAACTTCTGCTTCCATCATCACATGATCTTCTCCTTGACTCCTCCTGTCTCCCTCTTATAAGGACTGTTTTGATTATATTGGGCCCACTCAGGTAGTCCAGGATAATCTCCCCATCTCAAGATCCTTAACTTAATCACATCTGTGAAGTCCCTTGTGCCATATAAGGTGACATTCACAGGTTCCAGGCATTAGAATATGGACATATTTGGGGTACCATTATTCAGTCTACCACACTTATTTTTAAATAAAAACTAATTTATAAACAGTTGAGATTGTTATTTTAGAGATATATAATGAATGGATATTGAGATCCCTAGCATGTTGCTTTGTGTTGCTTCATCCCCCACGGATTTGTCACCCCTCTTCCCCTGGGTGATGGAGATGCAAAGGATTACTCAAAGACCATCTCTTCTGAGCAGTGACAGGCCCCGAAGTGGTTAATCTCCTGGAACCCTCAAGAGAGAGGCATTCCTTCCATGGGAAATTAATGCTGAATTGGGGTTCTCTTCCTGCATTTATTTTCCAGACTAGGCAGTTACAGGAAGAGACAAAGGTGGGGTTATAGTTTAACAGTATAGGCTGGTAACATTCAGTGAAACAAGCCAGATGACATTCCAGTAAGGCAATTAAGTGGTTCTATCAACAACAGTTTGATCGTAGCAAACATTCCTTCCAGTAGCAATTTCTCAGTATCTTTACATAACAATCAGTAACTCGTCTGTCTTTGAGCCAGCAACCTGCTGTGCCACAACTCTTATCTTGCAGCAGAGACTTATACCCTAAGGGAAATTTCCAGTCCTCCACAAGGCCAATATTTGAAACCGCAAGGCTTTGGAAAACCAGGCCCTGTGAAGTACATATGCTTTATAGTATATTCCACACTAGCAGAAGAGGAAAAAATTGCACCAATTTACTTTGCTAATAGCTGAAAATGATGACTGATGGGTAAAAAATGTCAACTAACAGAAATACACAGTAACAAATTTCCTATCCTATGATAAAAGAGAGCTAGTACAGTGATTAAGATTTTAATTCAGTTTCTAAAGCAATGCTAAAGAATTGCCATGTAAATGAGAATGAGCCACGTCTGGGGAGAAGATTCGTCCCTCTTCAAAGAAGACATGCAATCCTGTACACTGAATAAATTATAAGCTATAGAAAATGAACTAGTCCTGGGCAATATTTCTAATAAACTACCTCATAAGAAATAAATTTTATTTTATACCTAAAGGGAAACTCTTGTCCAAACTAATCTCTCCCACTCTGAACTTCTGAAGTACTTACCGTCAATACAAATATTTGACATTTATCATCTGCTACTTTGTAAACTATCTTCTTATAGAATTATTATACTTTAGGGGCTGGCCCGTGGCTCACTCGGGAGAGTGCGGTGCTGATAACACCAAGGCCCCGGGTTCGGATCCCATATAGGGATGGCCGGTTAGCTCACTGGCTGAGCGTGGTGCTGACAACACCACATCAAGGGTTAAGATCCCCTTACCGGTCATCTTAAAAAAAAAAAAAAAAAAGAATTATTATACTTTAAAAATGACAGCTACATTTGTAAAAGATCCAGAAACTTAAGCCAACTATTTTATATCAATATATATTCTAATCCATGTATTATTACATAATAATAGAAATCATATATGCATTACTTTATATTTTCATTTTTGTTCCTTAATATTATTTACTTCGATCCCTGTACTGGCCAGCTGCAAAAAAAAATGTATATACAAATTATTCATAAATGTGCATTTGATATATTCTACACTTACTGTAATGGTACTGATTGTTAAATTGTTCACAAATGTCAAATATTTAGAATATTTCTAAAATATTTTGGGGGTAAACTTTATTTGGTGGGTAGTGCAGCTTAATGATTTTGATGCATGCTTTGCTCAAAGAGAACACTGTTTTGTCAATTACCTGCTCAGTGACTGTGCACATGTGGCAGGCAGAACTCTAAAATGGTCCTCAAGATTTCCATCCCCCTGGTGTACAAACCCTATGTTATCTTCTCCCCTTGAGTGTGGGTAGGTCCTATGAATATGAGAGGACATCAGTCCTGGGATTATGTTATATTACATGCAAAAGGGACTGTTCAGATGTAACTAAGGTTCCTACTCGGTTGACTTTGAGTTAATAAAAAGAGAGCTTATCCTGGGAGGGCCTGACCTAATCAGGTAAGCCATTTAAAAG